ATCAGAACAGTTAAATGGTCTTTTCTCTTGAGGGGGATCGGAAAGAAGCGCAGAATAAACGAGAAAGGGCTCAAACACTTGATGTTTTGCGGGTCCAAGTGTTCTGTTATCTCATGAGTGTTCTTTTTCAACACAAAACAGTTGCACGTGATAGTGAGGATATTGGTCGCGTTGATGGTGGCTTTATCAACAGCCGCCTTAGTGCATTTGGTGCTGCGCTGGTGACGCCCGTGCTGCTTGAGTTTGGTGCTCTGAAGTGGCTTTTGGAACGACTCTTGGTTGGTTGATGGTTGCTTTTGAAAAGTCTTTGGGTGTAGCTCCCAAGCTCTGTATGCACAATAAGGATGTTTAGGCCAGGTGTCCATGCAATTCAGCCACATCGACTTTTGCTTGGGTGGCAGGAACAGATCTCCGATGTTTCCCAAGGCTTCACACAGAAGTCCCGTGATTGGGGTTGGCTTGACCTAGGGTAGGCCCGGCCCCTATGCAGGATGTCTAGGTCCTTGGCTACCCTAGAGGAGAGGGCGAATGACAGGCCCTATGCTAGGGGGGTCCTAGGGCCTATCATTGCCCAAGGCTTTGGCTTCCAGAGAGTCTTCGAGGTGGAAGTTCCAAGCCCGGAGAAAGAGAAGACGGTGAAGCTGCAGGCCTCCTTGGTGCCTTGGCCTCCAACCTAATAGCAACTATATTAGACCTTTCTTCCTTTTTCTGTTTTTCTTGTTTCAAATAGCGATGGCCTCCAACCTAATGGCATTGGCCTCCAACCTAATAGCGATGGCCTCCTACCTAATAGCGATTGCCTCCAACCTAACAAGCGATGGCCTGCAACCTAATAACCATGGCCTCCAACCTAATAGCCATGGCCTCCAACCTAATAGCGATGGGCTCCAACCTGGTAGCGATGGCCTCCAACCCTAATAGCGATGGCCTCCAACCCAAATAACCATGGCCTCCAACCCTAATAGCGATGGCCTCCAACCCTAATAGCGATGGCCTCCCTTTGTAATAGTGATACTGCAAATCCCTGAAGTAGCTAGTTCTGTGCAATCCCTGAGTTGATTCATGTCCTCTAAGGAGCTTTACCTCACTCTTTTGGCCCGCGTGGCCTTTCCTGACAGCCTCTCCACTTGTCCAGTACCTTTCTTGGACGTGAAGGAGGGCCTTTGTGTCTACGAGGTTGGACGAGGGAAACCGCTTTAGTCTCAAGAGTCACGCTGAGACTTGGGAAAATCTCCAATGACACCTAGAGATCCTAGAGGATCCTTCTGGAAGTTAGAGGCTCTGTATTGTAGGATCAGATGACGCGAAACAACCAGCAGCTTTGCTGGGAAGCAGATGCCACCATGCCATTTTGCCAGATTCATGGCATCCTTTTGTTTCGGCCGAGCATAATTTAGCAAGTCCCGGCTGAGCGTAGCAAGTCGCGCCATGTAACATGTGTGTTCCACGCATTTTCTGAGACTGCCTCAGTCCATGGTTTCCCTCTTACAAAGTGTACAAACGAAAAGTAAATTGTGACTTTTCTTTTGGGCATTTGAAGTGTATCTGAATCAAACACAGCCATGGGCCATGCCTCTCCACCTTGTGCAGATCCCTATGCTGGGGCCGTTGGGAGATTTGCCGTTGCATCCCGGCGGCAACAGTGCGACCTTGGTGGCACGGAAGCTTGCGGAAGATGAGCCAGTTCAGCTGATGCGATGAGGCTAGAACACAAACTCATCGACAATTGGTGGTCAAAAGCAGTGGTTTGAGACTCCAGTTTGCATTTGTATGCATGTGGTTGTTTGAGCCTTGTTTGGTATTCCTTTCCTTGGAGGCCAAGCTTGGCTACTGAGTGAGCAAAGTGACCACGCTTCTTAAATGAGATCGTTTGCATCGACAAAGGTTTGCGATGACCTCTGCGGTTGCCCTTGCTTTTGCTTGATGCTTTTTGCTTGAGAACCATGAACCATACTTCCCGGTGAAACGCGCATTGCACAACCAACCAGCATTTGGAACGATTCTGCGCTAGTAGCGCCAGGCGTCACGAAGGGAATCGAGCTGTCCGTGATGAGGCTGGCATTCATGAGTCAGGACCCCAGCAAATCCTCCTGAAACCTTGACCGGTTGGAGATGTTCTACACTTTCAAAAGGCACAAACAACACACATTTGCATACTAGGAGCAAGGACGCTACTAGGGGCTCCTGGCCTTATACTAGGAACAAGAAGCTAATAGGGGCTCCTGGCATCGCTACTAGGAGCAAGGATGCTACTAGGGTTGTATTCTTTGTGCTGGAAAGGATGCTTCCATCAATTCAAAGGATAAAGTCATCTAGACGGCGATCGTTGAACTTGGTGCGTCAGCACATTTTTGCATGAACCTTCGATGCACACAAGGCATAGAATATATACATGATGCTAACAAGCACTTAGATTCCTAATGGTGCCAGCATGGTGCTCGGTGGATTCTTTGGCAAGTGGATTTGGGGTCATCGTGCAACTACATGGTTACGGGTATGTTACGGGTATGTTACGCTTAGATCGGTTGCCTGCTAGGTCAGCGTGGTATTTTCCTTCGCTACAGCGAAACACCGATTTTCAAGTAATGTGTGCATCCGTTCTAAAGATTCTGAAGGAACACAGAACACTACTTTCGGTGAAGAATGTGGCGAGTGTGTGAAAACACAAGTGAACCGTGGAAACACAGTAGGTCACCTATCGATTGATATTGGTGCTGCAAGATGTATCAATGTATTGACTACTTCTAGTTTGTTGGCACAGCAGCTTGCCCACACCCTTACCTGCCAGGTCAAGATGCGCTGCGATCCAACACTATTTGAAGAAGGTGCTCGACCAAAACCATACCAAAACCTTGGAGGCCATCGCTATTAGGTCGGAGGCCAAAGCTTGTAGGTTGGAGGCCATCGCCGGCTCATAAGTAAAGCTTTAAGTAAGTGAGGAGGTAGGACCTGCACCTTGGAGGTGTACAAGCGCCAGATCGACATGCACGACGCTGCAGCCTTGCTGAACTTCAGAGGTCCAAGGACTGCGATCCTAAATGGATCCACGACAGGCACCCTGTGGACAATCAGGAGATCGAACAAATACACTTTAAAAAAGATACTGTTTAAAAGGCCGCTCTCCCCCCCTACCTAATGGCGATGGCCTCCAACCTAGTCTTGACAGGGTGGGCTGGAACGTAGTTGAATTTGATTGGAAGCTCTTTTGTTGGATAAACATTTGATGCACGACAGAACTTGTTGCCTAATATTTTGCCAATTGAACTTGACCTCGTTTGATTTTGATGGACTCTGTGAGTATTGCACATCCTGAAGAATCAGTAAGGCTGCCCTGTATGTCTCGGTTTTCGCGGGGTGTTTCCATCTAATTCTAATGTTTGCACTGTCGGAGTCGTTGGGCACATCTGCCTGCGATGACAGTGATTGATTGACATTGTGTGTTTGCAGAATGTCTCCAGGACGCCAGAGCAAGGAGAGAAGCTGCTGCAGATTCTGGAGGATGTCGAACGTTCGGTCCTCATCTTCAGAAACCAAATTGACAATGATCCTATTTGATTTGTCCCTCCAGCTGGTGAGCTGTATTGATATGGTATGGCTTTCTTCGAAGATGACTCAGCTGCGGAAAGGTTCCTTCTTCAGCAACTACATTAGGCTGGAGGGATGGCATAGTAGCACAGCAGTATAACTTTGTTGTTTCACTCAATGAGCAGCATGTTTGTGACTCAAGACCCTGGAGGCAAGCTGAAAAGGGGGACTTCTGGAAAGATTTTGTGGAAGGTCGCGAGGCCAGAGGGCATCAGCCTGACTGGGTGGCAAAACATCTATATAACTTTTATTCAGAGTCGAGTCATTTTGATCATTTTAGACGTGTCCTTGGCAGGTTGCCCTTGAGCGTGCCATCGTGTCTATGCGCTTACGGTTCAGAGCCAGGGCCCCAGACTTGAACCTTGAGGGCACACCAGCCCAACTCTTCAAAATCGACTGCTACCATGCTGAATGAAAACCACATGGAGTGACTGCAGTCCATACACGCTTCAGAACACCATGATGCCCAGAAATATGGCTAACAGTGACATTAGGGTGTGCTCCGCCGACGTTTCTAAGCGCCCCTGAAGTACCCATTGATGCATTCTTGGAATGGAAGGCACGTACTTGGACTATCATAAGGTATCAAGCATTTGATCCCGAACAAATGAGTTTAGATTGGCCAGTCCCATACTTTGCAGTGTTGACCTCGAAGAAATTATGTTCTTGGATCTGCTGAATTGTTTGTTTTGCTAGGCACTGCATCAGGAGCTTGCCCAGGTCATCACAAACGCAGCTTGGCCATATCATGTGAAGTTGCCATCACTGGGGATTTAACAAGCTTTAACTCCCTGCTAGATACATTGGCAAAAAAACAAAGCCTGTATCAAAATCTGTGACAAGTGCTGAGGTACCAGACAACTCCCCTCGGCAGCATCGTTCCAGAACCCCACCAAGATAAGTGCAAAAAAGTGACTGAGTGCCGTTGTCCACGCGCTTTGGTTCGTGCATTGCATAATGACACCAGGCTGATCATGAACATCACCCACACATGGCTATCATGTCACAGACCACAGTAGCAATGCTGCCAATCTCACGGAACTTCATGAGACTAACTGCAGGGGCTTTGCTTCTTCGTGAGTTCGGCAGCGTGAAACAATGCAATTGCCTTGTTCAAACCAGTGCCAACTTCAAAGACCATGCTGTGATTCCTTGGGCAGAACGACCTGCTTCTCCTGGTTCAATAGCCTGTAGCGTTTCGAGGCCAAGAGAGATTGTAGTAGGACACTGCCGATGGCAGGAACAAACGCAGGTGGTTTGAATACTTGATTCGCTTTTGCAACAGTTTGTTTAACTCAACTTACGCACCAAAAAAGCAAGATGCATTTTTATCAGATGAACGATCACAAGCCAGACACACCAACAAGATGAATGCCCAGCAAAACGCTTACCCACTGTATTGAGCATCTTCAACGGCACAATCATCACGGTGAGAGCAGCCTCTTCGCTTCAAAGCAGGAATGATCCTAAACAGGAGGGCCTGTGTGGCCGAGGCCAAAGTCTGCCGTTTTCAACCTAATAGGAATGGCCTTCAACCTACTAGCGATGGCCTCCAAGGTTCTCTTCGAGTCAAGTCTTCTTAGAGTTCTGAGCTCTCATGGCTCCGAAATCTGGAGGTTAATGCTGGGCTTTGTCGTTCCTGAGGTCAGTGGTCCCAGAGTGTTTTTGAGGAAGCTAAGGGCTAGTAGCGGAGAAATGAACATGGGAATAACTTATGCGCACGCCAACGCCAGCAGGCAATAAACTTGTTGTATTGCGTGCAGGCCTGGTTGACGTTTTAAACCAAGGTTGTGTTTGGATCAACCATTAGTAATATTGGGATTTGAGCACCTTGTTGTGAGCTCTATGTTGATTGCTTGCAATGACTGGTAATTATAGTAGTTGCACGGCCGCATTGTTCTGGAATCATGCCATCATGGCCATTCAAAAAAACATCGGTTTGTGAATGAGGTCCTCACCTGCAACTCTTCGTTGCCTTGGAGCTCATATCTCCGCGCAGTAAGGCTGGAGTGCGTACTTTTCTGGAACAAAGCACGGCTACAGCGCGACACTGTAGGGGCTTACTTTGTAGCATGACGAGCATGCCACTACGTTACATGGCGGTTTCCGTGTCGGTGCAATCTCTTACCTTGTGTTACAGAAAAATGTTTGACAGGTGTCAATCAAAGTTTGCCTTTGGCCGTTTGGCCACAAAGGAACATTCAGAGCTATTTCAATGCTGAAACAAACATGAGACTTAACTTTTCAATGTAACTGCAATCCTCAGAGCTTTTGCAAGAGTTGAACTACTTCCGACCCTAAAGACAAGACATTAGTCAAAGCTAGGCCTAATCTGAAGAAAACTGAGCGGCTCTTTAGATTCGATGTATTTCCCAAACCCGTGCACAGCCTGCTCTCAGATATCTTTCTATGCAGTGGTTATTTGAAGCGTGCATTTGCGCATGTTACCAATGCCGACTCCACAGCACTTGTATGAGGTCAGCAGTGGAGTCCAGTGTTTTTCCACAGGAGCCTGCGCGAGTAGTGTGAGCCTGCCCCAGCAAGTCCAGCAACTAAGTCTCATGCGTATCACTTAAATTATCTTAAATTGTTCTGGCATGGTCCCGGAATGGTTGCATGAAACAGCACCAAACTGTTTGTCCCAAACCGCAGCTAGAAAGTGCAGATTGAAATCGACTGGCTGCAGGAGCCGTTTGAGGAATCTGTGGCGATTTTTCATTTTTGGAGAGGCAAGCCGTAAGCTGAATGGAGATATCAAGCATGCGGCTAGTGTCCAGTAATATGTTGCATTTCAAGGTTGATTTGTTGATCACTGATGATCCTTCACACCTCGTTTCACTCATCAGTTTTGGCCGCCCAGGACATTTTGAACATCAAATAAATATATATATATATAGATTCTTGAACACCATGTTTCCGAGGTCGTGCAGTTTCTGCTGTGCAAGAGTTGGAGTTCTTCGGTAAAAAAGCTGAGGACCCGCTGAATCATGTGCTTGTGAACAAAGCAATTGCAAAGAAAGTTCTAAGTGTTGAGATGACGCTGCCACGGAAACTCAATCATGCAGTGTATGGTCGGAACGGAGACATTGCACAACATTGCTAGATAAACTCTATGATGTTGGTGATGGTGTACTGAACTTGCTGACAACCTTTGGAAGATCAGGGCAAAGATGCTCCCAAAGATTCTTGTTTGCACGGCCTGGCGTGGAGCTGAAAGTGTACGGTATACGTGAAGTGGGTCCTTCGTTGACAGTCTGGTGGCTAACATGCTTGCTTCCTTGGCGGGCTGGTCGTTGCTTTTTGGTTAATATCCTGACTTCTTTCAGAATATGTTTGTGTTCAATATATTTGTTTGCAGAATGATTCACTTAGCAGGATACACATGCTCATTCATGTGTTGAACATGTCCTTGGTTGTATGCAACCCAATGCAGGAAAGATGTGATCCATGGATACGCTTTCAACCGCCCAAGGTCACCGCATTGCAGGTGCTTGGTGCAAGAAGCAATGGCCGTGTTCAGGTCCCAAGATGAATAGCTTGAGGTGGGAGAGAGTCAAAGAACTGTGTGAGGTACCGTAGGAATATCGAACAGAGAGGACACATTTTGATGCTTGCTGACTCCAGTTCACTTGATGAGCCGTGGTTGGGCCACTACAGTCGATGCAAAGACTGAGGAGCGGAGACAGCTGTTGGCACTGGCAGAGGCGCGCAGGTTTGTTGACAGTCATAGAGGGAATCGCTGACGGTACACATGTTAAGTTCCCGCAAATATCTAGAAAGCACATGATTAGGGCTCAGGCTTCTTGAAGGAAGCCCTCAGGCGAGAGGAGCTTCCTTGAAGAAGCCTCAGCCCTTCTGCGTCCAAGGCTAAGAAGCAAATTAAGCTTACATGTAGCTACCCCTTACCTCTTAGCTTACTTGAGCCTCCTTGCAGCCTACCCCCGGGGTTTTAAACAGACTAATGCATATAGTTATAAGTTATTAGTTATAAGTATTTATATATATATACTAGTTTCCCGATAGCTGAAAGCTACAGGCGTTCTTACTCCACGTGTCTCCTTATATGTCTCCCCACTGATCTGCCTGTGTGATCGGCGTTTTGTGTGCTGCTGCCGCTTTGTCTCCCACTTGTGTTCCCACTTGTTTGCTTCTGTGATCTGCACTTTGTTTGCCGCTGCTTCTTTGTCTTCCCCCCTTGTCGTGAATCCGATGATGCTCTTCCTGCCTACTTTCATGGGTTTGCTGGGCTGAGAGGAAAAGATGTGCTTCTGCTTCTGTTTTGAGAGTTTCGTTGCTCTTTGGGGGGGTATGCCGGTGTAATACATATTCCTAGGTTTACTATATACCTGGCGGCCGAAACCAACTCAACTGCAGAAGGCATAGCCGCGCCTTTCGATACCCCGCAAGGCCAAATGCAATTGTTGCAACTCGTTACGTTTAGAGGCTGCAAATGCCACGGATACTCTGCGTAGTTTTCTTTCAATTTGTTTCCTCCTCTATGTGTATTCCTCGTTATACTATTTTTCTTGTTTTACCACATGTTTTAGGTGTTGGTCACAAAAACAGTATTCTATCGCGGTGTCGTTTGGTGACAATGTCACGAGGCATGGTTTGAGACAATCACAGGGGCAGTTATCAGGTAATTAATTCCATGGTTGTTGTGTCGCATTGGGGAACAGCGGAAAGCAAGACCAACCTTTAAAAAAGGACTTCTTGAACAGCAATCACTGACATGCAACCCCAAGAAGAAGAATTGCAAATTGCAACGCGGTATTTTTCGAAGGCCGACCCCTTCGGCTAGCAGAAGCAGGAATCAAATCAATTAATTCTATTTGAAGTCCTTGGACATACCCCTTGGATCGGCCTGACAGATGGGGAATCACGAGGACTCCCAAAGCTGTTCGCCAGGCTTGAGCATAAACCCACCTGTTCACAGGCAGTTGCCTTTTGTGAGCATGAGGTTCATGTTGACCTTTTTGGACTAACCCCTCTGGAGCCTAGGAGAAACGGGCGCGCTGACTGACGCCTTTGGACCACGACGGTCCCTTTTTGTCCTTTGGTAGTTTGCATGGTAGGCGGAGCTCTTGACCACGTTCCTGGTGGCCTTGGCTATGCCTGCTGAGGAGGTCCCGACATGGGACGGAGATCCTTCCGGATTTGAGGCATTCGCGACATCATGCCGCTGGTACGAGGAAGCTAGCGGCACCCCGCATCTGGCAGCGATTGGCTGGAGCAGCCAAGAGCGTGGTTCGCCACCTTGATCCCAAGGACTTTGGGACGGAGGCTGGCCTTAGCAAGCTACTTGGTGTACTTCGAGAAAGCCCGCTGCAGAAGCTCCCAGTTCCTGACAGCTTCAACCGCCTCGAGAGATGGTCTGGACTTCGGAGGACCCATGCTGAAAGCATACCCCAGCTCCTAGTCCGAGAAGAAGAACTGTTTGTTGAGCTTCAACAGGCATTGCAACGTGCAAGAGCTGAGAAGATGAAGCATGAGGTTCGATCCATGGCTGTGGGAGCTGAAGAACATGATCCACCGACCTCGCCTACGAGATCACCCAATGTCACCTTCCGAGTGCCGGAGGAGGACGAGGCGCCTGCAGTGACCCGGACGGAGGACAGGCCTATGGCTTTGGACAACACCGGATTCTTCGAGAATGAACTCCGAGGATATAGACTGCTGAAGGCCGCAAAGTTGTCGGCGGCAGAGCGACGGCATGTCATGACCTTGACCAAGAACAGCGCCCACTTCCAGCTCATTCGAAGAGCTTTGAGATCCCTGTTTGCCGATGGTTCTGATGGACCTGAAGATGCCGGCGGGCGTCATCCTCGACGAACTGTTTGGTACGCCGATGACGTCAGTTGGGACCAGTGGGACAATGAGCAATGGGTCGATGACGGTGAAGACTGGTGGGACGAAGAAGCCTACTGGAATGACTGGTCGCCCGCTTCAACGTGGGAATACTATGACGAGGACTATGAGTTCGCTGGTGGAGATCAAGTTCATCCTGGTGAATGAAGGAGTGGAGCTGACGGCAGAGGAGCAGGAGAACGAGAAGAGGCTTGAAGAGGCCTTTGTGTTAGCTGGTGAGGCAAATCGAACTGTGGCTGAAGCCAAGCAAGCGGTGGCCAAAGTTCGTGCGGCGCGGGGCTACTACTACAGTCCTATGGGCATGAATGGCAAGGGCCGCTCGTCGAAAGGCGAGAAGGGTGGCTCCAATGGAAAAGGGAAGGGCTCTGGTGGTGGCACTATGGGTCCATGTTTTATCTGTGGCATGACAGGTCACGGCTACCAGAAGTGCCCTGACAGGTGGTCTTCTGGGAAGGGCAAGGGCTCTTCCGCTTCATCGCCTTCATCTTCGAGGGGATCACCGTTCGGCAAGCCAACAGAGGCCTAAGGCCCGTATAGACGAACTATAAAGCCTGAGACCGTATAGGCTAGTTTGACCTTGGCCACATATAGCAGCAAAGAGGCGCCATGCCAGCGCCATTTGTTTAAAAGAAGGATAGGCTACCTAAGCAGCCAAACCAGGACCCGTTTAGCTCAGCTAGGCTTTGTGAAAAGCAGCACAGCACTCGTGTCAAACTTGAGCCAGTATTGTTTTGTTTTTTTGTGTTTGCGCACTTACACAAAAAAATTGAAGGGGAAGGTGCAAAGCCACCGCCCAAAAACAAACAAACGCCGTTAAAAGGAAACAAGGGCTGGAAGGGGTTGTGTTTTTCACTGTTCAGCGATCAAACTGGATTTTTTCCTCATGCGTCACACTCCTCAAGTAGGCAGTCTTTTCCTGCCCATGGTAAAGTGGACATGATGGAATACTGCTCCATGCATCTCAACCCTAGGGTTCGCGGATGCGCGAGCGTGCACAATTTCCTCAGATATGAGCCACAAAAAATCCCTCAACTTGTGGCTGCACACTGTTTAAATCGTTTTATGTAATCCCAAGAGTCTTGACTTTGCCCACTAAATCCTCGTCGAGGACACACGATGTGTGTCTGGCGTTGACCCATGAAAAGTCTACCATCCTGGGCTGCTGGCCACCAACAACTGCTCAAACACGGTTTCGGAAACCCACACGTTTTGTCAACACAGGTCCATCGTTTCTAAAGACCATTTCGAACTTCGAGGCACAGGTGTTCCATCATGTGTAACTTAGGATACACCGGCCATCTGAAGGTAGATGACGTCAACGCTGTCGATGCTAAGACTCAGCTGGCCCGTGCAATGTCAGGGGGGCGCCCCCCCAAGGAAACTATATAACATAAAAAAAATGTTCCAAGGTTTGATTTGGCAACAATTGTACCCCTCACGGAAGTTCCAGAATTGGTCGATCAAGCGAAGTCTTGCTGGTAGCGGTGGGTATTTCGAACTCTCGGCCAAGATCGTGTAGATATTGGCTAAAGATGTCATTGTGTTCGCCCTGTACCTCAAATCAGACAGTTCAGGGACCCAGGGAGGCAGCCCAAAACCGAGACCGGTAAACGAAAATCAGAAAGGGTTTTAAATCTGGTCTAGCCTGAGTTGCACAGAGTGCACGTCCCCATTTTCTAGAGCCAGGTTGTAAACAATGCTGGAGAGAAAATACACAACGAAGCGGGCAGCTATCCCCTTCAATACTTTCTGGCTCACGCTCGGGTACACGGTGGACGACGGCTGGAGAAACTTCTTGTTGAATAGTTTCCGCGAAGCTCGGGACGCATGCGGTATGCCTGATACTGTTTTACAACCAGTCACAACCAGGGAGCTAACTCCTAAACAACAACCACACTGCACATCATGGCAAAAGTGTGACAGTAGCACACCTGTTTGGGAACACCAGTTGATGTAACGGGCGTGCAGATCGCTCAAGTCGAAGCCAGCTTCATCAAGTTCTAGGAGACTTGAAGTGATGCAATCTGGAGACACCTGGAGATCCACAATATGAAGTAGATCGCAATAGATTCCTGGAGGCGACGTGCAACAACAGACATTTTCCAACGCTGTCTCAAACCAGAAATTGAGCCAGGTGTCTCCAAGGTTCAAAGGCCAGAAGCTTGCACAATTCAGTATTGCCATGAATGGCAATGAAGTCATCCTTTCCCTGCAACAACCTCACCCAAAGTCAACAAGAATTGTTTCGATTTCTGGTTGAAACATGTGACACAACCAGTTAAACACCTAACGCATAGGAGGCACGTGGATCTGTGATGGGCCGTCGGCCCAAATGCGGTGTATAGCAGACTTTCATTTTCTCCAGGTTCTGTGTAAGACACAGCGCAACAATAGGGGCAAATCAACTTTCGCCCAACATGCCAACTTCCTAGGCGTGTTCTGTTCGGGAGAAACAAAACACACAAAGAGGCAAAATACATACACAGGTCTAGTATAGCTTAGATCACCTGCATGGCAATTTCTCTGCCAACATGGCTCGCTTCAATGTGAAGCTCTCGTGGATCCAGGCCTGGTCTCCTTGAATACCATCTAAAATCCCCCGGTAGTGGCCAGCCAGTGGCTGGCCGCTCAACTCATACCATCTTGGATGGTAGTCACGGCTGAACATCTCACCGAACGGGTCTCGGTCCGGCCACCGGCCAAAACCTTAGAACTTGGACAGGTGGCGCAGCAATGAACTATGCGGGCTTCGACAAAGTGCACTTTCTTTGCGCTACACTTGCATCTTGACTGCACAAGAACCTCAAGGGCGCGTGCCAAGAGACACATGGCGTTG